GTGGAACTGAATCTGTTCAGCCTTGAGCAAAGGAGACTAAAGGGGCGATATGATTCAGGTCTATAAGATTCTAACGGGTCTGGATGCTGTTCAGCCAAATGGCTATTTCAATATTAGTCTAAATACTAGAACTCGTGGCCATAAGTGGAAATTAGCGGGAGAACATTTTAAAACAAATTTGAGGAAGCACTTCTTTACACAGCGTGTAGTCAGAGTATGGAATAGTCTTCCTGCTATTGTAGTGGAAGCTAAAACCATGGGTTCCTTTAAATCAGAGCTAGATAAGATTTTAACAACTCTGAGCTATTAGCTAAGTTCTCCCCAAACGAGCTTGATGGGCCGAATGGCCTCCTCTCGTTTGTAAATTTCTTATGTTTCTTATGTTTCTTATGTAGTTGCAGGGGGCTCATAGAAAGGCTAAATGTTTTGCAATGAGAAAAAAAAAAAATTCAAGGGCCCTTATCCCCAGTTGGAGTGAAAGGACACCCCCCCACCCACCACACCCCCCATCCCCCCCAACGCAAAGGATCATTAAAGCTGCCCACAGTCCCCAGCTTAGCAGAGGTGAGCCGTCCTCTGGCTTCACCCCCCTAACCGGAACGTCCACCCCCTGCCTCTCCACAGACACGTTGTTAGAGAAACACGTGGGCTGAGACTGGGGGGGGGGCTGGAAAACGCTGAGCACGGTGCTCTCATTCATGCCCAGAGGTGGAACACGACGGAGGATCCGCCTGATCGGGCACCAACACCTTCGCTTCAGGCGGCCTGAACAAAGGACCCATCTGTAGGTGCCACTTATCGGCAGACCCAGAGAAGCCCGTCATGACGGCGGTGCAGGCCGTGCCCTGGCACGATGGCGGGTACAGACAGCCTCGGGTCCAGCCAGTGCCCTCCATGCTTCCGCCTGCTCCTCTCTGCTCTGAATCGGACCTTTGTGCCGACGGAACCCGTCTTCGATTTGTGGCACGTTAGAGTCAGCATGCGTTTGACGGGCTGCTTATTGTGTCCCTGAAACCTAAAGAATAACATCGTTATGTCAAACCATAACCCCAAGTCCCCGCTCTGCAGGATCCAGCTAATCCCAGCTCCCAAGGTTGGTCATTCATCAATGTTAGTTAAATTAAGATTAGTCTAACTCAGGGATTAAGAGTCTAACTCAGGGATGGGGAACCTGTTCCATGGAGGGCCGTTTTGGGTGCAGGTTTTTGGAATGGCCTCTCAATCAACAGTGGTTCTCAACTCCAGTCCTGGAGACCCACTGTGATTGACTGATTGAGAGGCCATCTCAAAAAACCGCACCCACACCGGCTCTCCATGGATCAGGTTCCCCACCCCTGGTCTAACTAGTCCTTTGCCAACCACAAAGCACAGGGTTTTTAATTCTCAAATTAAACAGTTCTTATACAGATACACTGTACACTGATTCTATAAAACACTTTTGGCTCTATCACACCTTATTCTCCATGAGAGACACAGACATAGATGTAAATACAGGGATTTGGGTTTAGAGGTCGTGCTTAAAGGGTTGACGGTGAGAAGATAACCCTTCCAGACACAGGATTCGAACCTATGACCTTCTGGACACAGGGATGGAAACTAAACTGGGAAACATATGTCTGGCTGAGATGAGCAGAGCGTATAATGTAAACAGTGTCTTGTAGTTTCGTTTTTAAGTGTCTTACACACAACACCCAAGGTTATTACAGTGACCGCCATCCATCATCCCTTCCGGAATGTTCCGTACTTACAAATGTCTCCCCCAAGGTGACACCTTGCCTAAAAAGCCTGGTAATGAATTGACTTCTCAGCCGTAGCGTGTCTCTGTATTCAACGCTGAATGCCCCTTCCGCCACTGAGTCTCCATCGCCTATTTCTCAGCTCCCCGAGGTACCCATGGCTTGTCCCGGATCATTCTATTCCTCTCCCCCATCCTCTCCATCTCTGCCCCATCTCTGGTAGATTTATATACCTGCCCACTGCGACGGCCCTTCGACATGGGGCTAGTAAGTGAGGTAACGGAGTTCATTCCCTCCTGCCACGACAGGAAGTTAGCAAACAATTTCATAGCAGGTGTGGCACCAGCGAACAAAGATCTGCTAGGCAGCCACCGTGGCTCAGTGGGCGGCGCCGTGGCTCAGGGGGCGGCGCCGTGGCTCAGTGGGCGGCGCCGTGGCTCAGGGGGCGGCGCCGTGGCTCAGTGGGCGGCACCGTGGCTCAGGGGGCGGCGCCGTGGCTCAGGGGGCGGCACCGTGGCTCAGGGGGCGGCGCCGTGGCTCAGGGGGCGGCGCCGTGGCTCAGGGGGCGGAACCGTGGCTCAGTGGGCGGCGCCGTGGCTCAGGGGGCGGCGCCGTGGCTCAGTGGGCGGCACCGTGGCTCAGTGGGCGACGCCGTGGCTCAGTGGGCGCCGTGGCTCAGGGGGCGGCGCCGTGGCTCAGTGGGCGGCACCGTGGCTCAGTGGGCGGCACCGTGGCT